TAGGTCCCCCCCCCCCTCCGTCCCTGCCCCCCCCCCCCCCCCCGGTGGTCTGTAGTTCATCATTAATTTCGGAACTCCCTCCCGCGTTTTCCGTCAACGTGTTAAACCCATTTATACTTGTAGTTCAAATTACTGTTACTCTTTCTTCGGTGCAGATCCCTTTGTGTTTGCGTTTTTGTTTTGCAGTTCGCGTCATGAATTTAGTCTCAGCCGCTGTGATTAGGCTTTGTGTTGGAGTTTTAATGCTCAGGTTTAACCGCTGTACACGGACACTTTCAACAGACAATATGCAATAGAGTTTTTACTGTATCTTTATAAGTCATTGTTTATCGAGCACAACTAAATGTTGTACAACGATGTTTATTAGCTTTGCTATGTCCGCCCGTCGTCAGCGGTTCACCTACTAAAACCACATCGAATCAGGAGAACTCCGCATCTTATTTTTTTTATTGCTAGCGAGGTGGGATTAAGTCCCTTGCACTGCTGCCACTTCTGGCCTATTGTACCAGCCCCGGATGATAGGTGAGGGTGATTGTGGAGCAGTTGGTGGAATGAAGATTGGCAGGGGAAACAGAAGTACTCGGAAAAAACCTCCCCCAGCGCCACTTTGTCCACCACAAATCCCATTTGACCAGACCCGAGATCGAACCCGGGCCGCCGCGGTGGGAAACCAGCGACTAACCGCTTGAGCTATGGCGCGGCCGAACTCCGCCTTTTACTCACTCATGGAGCCGAGTCCTTCTTGAGGAGCCGCCAATTCTGCAACTACTCAAGAATTTCCCAGAATTTTATGGAATCCGAAGGTTCATTACCGTGTTAAAAAGAACCCTTCACTGTTCCTTATCCTGGACCAGACCAATCCAATCCATACCATCCCATCCTATCTCTCTAAGACCCATTTTAATATTGTCCACCCACCTTCGCCTTGGTCTTCCCAGTGGTCCCTTTCCTTCTGGCTTTCCCACCAATATCCTATATGCATTCCTCGTCTCCCCCATTCGTTCTACATGCCCTTCCCACCTCATCTTCCTTGACTTGATCATTCTAATTATACTTGGAGAAGAGTACTAGTTATCAAGCTCCTCATTATGGAGTTTTCTCCAACCTTCCGTCACTTCATCTCTCTTTGGTCCAAATATTCTCCTCAACACCCTGTTCTCAAACATCCTCAGTCTGTGTTCCTCTCTTAATGTCAGAGACCAAGGAACTCCACCTCTTCGACAGCTGAACTGCGAATACGAGACGGCAACATAAAGCATAGCACGACGCAGCATAATCTACTAAACTGCAAGCACCACCGTCTATGTAAAGTTTAACATAACATTCGTTTTGATTCCTTATAAGAAGTATATTTTATATCTTTTATATTTTGTGTATATAAATTGTGGGACACGGGTTAGAGCAGTTGGATTAAGGCACTGTGCTACAAGCAGGAAGATGGCGAGTTCGATTCCAGACAAGATTATTGTGTTTTTCAATTGACCTAATTCTGCCAGTAGCACTTTGGCCCTGGGGTCGACTCAGCCTCTAACAGAAATGAATACCAGGAATCTTCCTGTGGGTGAAGGGCGGCGGGCGTCGTCTGTGAGCCGATTGTCTAGAGAAAATGTGGGAGTCTCGACGTCTCACAACCACATGGGCCTCCATGGCCTGTTACAGGGATAGCTTTACTTTTTACTTTTACATAGAATCACATATTAGAACACAGTGCTCGCGAGTAATCCAGTATGGGCATTATTAAAACGAAACATTAATACATAACATTGTTGCGGTTCAGAAGTTGAATTCTGCATAATTTCGTATGACTATTAAAGTGAATTAGTAACGTGTACAAGAGTTTATATGTGTTTTTACAAGTTTAAACTTTTAGTAAGAACTGTATAGTGCATTAATTTTAATTTACGTTGGAAACACCGTGTGCATGATAGTTCTGCCGCCTACGGCGCGATATAATTCCAGCTCCTTTCCCGTGGCGAGACAGACGCCGGTGAGTTTGCGCAGTGGGGGGTTACACAACCTTCATTCAACGACCACTGGTCCTGTCTCACAGCGGCAATCATTGTTCTGCACGTTCCTCGGTCGTGAAGATTACAGTCTGCGCTATAAATCTTCCGATCCAGATAACTTGGCTTACGACAAGAAAACGAAAAGGAGGATGAGATGGGCAGGGAATGTAGCATTCATGCATGTGGAATATTGGTGGGGACGCCAGGATAAAAGGAAGGAAGAAGTAAAAGAGATTAATATGAATTAGGTGGAGTACATGAAGAGGACAGAACAAACAAGAAGAGGAAAATGGAGAAGAACGACGAAGGATTATAATAAGTAGGACGAGGGGAACAAGACCAAAAAGAAGGAAAAGAAAATGAACGAAATATGAAGATGGCGGGAACAGAGTACAGAAAAAAAGGGAAGGAAAATAGGCGGTGGAGATGGAAACAGTTCTAAGAAAGAAACGATAAAGAGGCTGGTACTCACAAAGAACTGCGAAGCGCAGAACCTGGCCTGCAGGCACTTGAGAACGGCATCCTCAGTGAGGGGACCTGCGAGGTGTATCAGGTCCTCCAGCTCTGCGCAGCCCACGGGCCGCATTGCCACTGTCCCTTGCTGCTGAGTTGGCTGCAGATCTTCCGGTGGCGGCACCAGTGTGGGCAGTGGCGGCTGCTGAGGATGTGTGTGGTGATGCTGCTGAGCTAGTGACGTGGTGGTCTTCTTGTCCGAGGTAGTCCGCTGCTGGTGGCACTTGCCAGTTGTAGCGATGAAAGGTTCTGTCACAAAACGGGACAATTTTTGTCATAATGGTCTAACATCACAACGGTAGAATCCGTCTTAAACATCCACTGTCTATATGAACAAGAAATGCGAAATGTAAGATTTGAGGTTTTCATGGCGGTGACTATGAAGAAAGCAGTCTTCTGGGATGTGGCACCGTGTAGATGTGGTGTTAAAGCAAGTGTCACGTAACTTCGAACAAGGCCAAGAGTAACCTTGAATGCGCAGAAGAAAAATTTCAGACAAGGGGGTGGGTTCGAGGGTGTGAGAAGTGACAGACCGCCAGTTAAACAACTGGCCGCCTGTCACACGGCGCCACATCCAAGAAGACTACTTTCTTCAAGAAATGCGAAGTTTCGGAGGTTCTGTGTGACTCCATCTCCACGTATATGCGTTCTGTAGGGACCTTTATGCAAAGCCTTGTGATATAGAGTAGTTGTACCGAATGAGGCCCCAAAGTAGGTACCTATTTATTTACTACTACTCCGTAGTTTTAGTCCGCAAGCGAACTATACCGACCGAGTGACCGCCGTTTGTCGGCGAAGTTAGTGCCAACTTTAGCGGATAGAGGGTGCCGCGTGGTCAGCGCAACAAATCCCCACGGCCGTTAATTTCTGTCTTCTAGACGGGGTACCTATTTATTGTACCTGAAAATGGACATCAGGACAGCATCAGAAATGCCGTCAACCTTTTTATTCAGTCAATGAGATAAATGCGAAGGAAAATTTACCTCAAGGAAGGTCTACATTTTACAAGGTTTGCGTAACGTTCCCCTGCATTTCTACGAAAAATGTAAAAGTAAAAGTAAAGCTATCCCTGTACCAGGCCGTGAAGGGCCCATAGGGTTGTGAGACGTTGAGGGTCCCACATTATCTAGACAATCGGCTCAAAGATGGCGGTAAGGTTGTCAGCCTTACGCGCCGGCCGCGCTTTACTCCCCAGGAAAATTATTATTTAATTCCAGGTACTCATTTCTGTTATAGGCTGAGTGCGGCTGGAAGGATTAGGTCAACTGAAAAAAAAATCCAATGACCTCATCGGGATTTGAACCCGCGACTTTACGGCTTGTAGCCTAGCGCCTCAATCACTACGCTACCGCGTGTCCCCTACGAAAAATGTGCTCATTTAAAGAACACGCTTTCGCCCAATATTTACATTTTATCCTGGCGAAAGTTGTCAAATGTTCTAGCTTGCAGGAATTCGGCATTTTATGGCAGAATCATCTTACGGGAAGGGGATGAACAAGTACAGTCCCTTCCATATATAGGCTACGACCGCGGTTTGATTTTAGAAAACAAATATTTTCTCTCTTCGCAACTGCTTAAAGAGGGGACTGTTCGGTTTCCTCTCTAACCAATACCAGTACACTATTTCCTTAAGATCACCAGTCACCACATCCATTGCCCAGGTTTAGCATAAGTGAAACTTTACACCACTACACTCATACGCCTTCGTGTAGTGGCGGTGACATAAAGGAACAGTTTTACCTCTTACCTTGCGATATACAAGTTATCACCAATACGTGACGCCAATTAAACTGCCTTCCTGTGTGGTTTAATCTAGTGTCTTAATTACACATCGGCGTATCAGCTAACTGTTATAAGGTAAAGTTGTCCCTGTGCTTAACTAATTAAGCATTACGCCACGAAGGCGTTTGGGGGAATGGATGCATAGATCCATATTTTCTTGACCTCGGCACTAATTGATGAGTGGTCAGCTTCACGCCTTGACCGCTTTACCCCCTGTACCCATTGGATAGGAAGTTGAGTGGGCCCCAGAGCCGGTCTGTACGACGTGGAAAAGAGAAACTTTTTTACCCGACCGGAACTCGAACTCCGACCCCTCAGCCTTTCAAACCGTAGTCAGCCGCTATACCGACTACGCTAACCCGACTCCGGCTGTTACAGTGCAATAAACTATAAAGTTACTCCGCATAGGGACATTTCTGTGTCGTATGTTGATCATAGTGTTGTACTTACCCACGGTGTTGATATGCTGAGGTATAGTGGGGAGATTGCTGTGACGAGGAGGGATTACCGGCTGCTGATTGGTTGTCACAGTACAGGTCGCGGCACTGTGAATATTGTTGTTATGGTGATTGCTATTGTTGTTATTGTTGCTGTTATTATTGGTGGCTGCGTGCGGGGGTGGGGGAACGGTGGCTGCTGGTTGGTTCACGTGAAGGCGATTCCGTAGGGTTACGAGCTCCGTACTCAGACTGCGCAGGCGCTGTTGAAGATGCACAGCTTCATTCGACGACGACGCATCTGATAACAAAACATGTCGGATATTAGTATCTAAATTAAAAATCAGATAGTTACGTTGTTTAGGAAGAGGATGCCGAAAAATTGCCTCAGCCGTCAGTGGTATCTGGGGTTAAGTGTGAGTCGACGATTCTGATGATGTTAATTTATTTGACGAAAACAATGTCCTGGGGAACAGAAGTTCTATTAAACGCTAATAAATAGGTTCGGAAAGAACTCGATTCGGATAAAAGTTGTGTGTCGTCACAGAAAGAAGGACAAAACCGTAACATAAAGATACCTAATAAATCTTAAAGGAAATGTGACGAAATTCACGAAGTTGGAAACAACACGAACAAATCAAATTGCACTCATGAATAAATTGGGGGCATATTCAAATTGGAGAATGCTTCCAAACATTGAATTCAGAATCTTTGTTTCCGATCTTCTATCTAAATAAAATAAAAAGTGAAAAGGTAAATTTATCCCTGTAACAGGCCGTGGAGGCCCATAAGGTTGTCGGAGGTCGAGGCTCACAGATGGCGGTGAGGCTGTCAGTCAGTCTTACGCTCCGGCCGTCCTTTACCCCAGGAAGAGTCCTGGTACTCATTTATGTTAGAGGCTGAGTCGACCCCAGGGCCATGGTGCAGCTGGAAGTATTAAGTCAATTGAAAAAAAAATACATCGGGACTCGAACCCGCGACCTTCCGGCTTGTAGCATAGTGCCTCAACAAACTGCGCTACCACGTGCCCCGTCAGGATTTGATACGGCACCATACGTTTATAATGGCCGAATGCACGACAGTAACGTTTAACTGTCCGTAATAGCTGCCATCTGTTTGATGGAACTTCAAACACCCAGTGCACGTGCGTCTTATTACCATTATTGTTGATATGTGACAATGGCATGACAGATGGTTGTCTTGCTACGTGCTGGATCATAAGTAAACAGATGACTGTCCATCACTTTGACGCAGATGTCTCCTCGTTAGAGTGCATGAAACGCATCCTGATAGTCCTCAGACAGAACTCTCAATGTCTGCTTCACCAAGACAGTGGGACTACAATACCCGTGAACTGAATGAATGCAGTAATTGAACTGACTTCATGGTGAGAGGCCTTTCTTCAAAAGTTGGTAGTTGCTGAGCTGGCCAAGAAATTGTCTGCTTTTATGGAACACTGTATTGCAGACTGCACAGTACTGTGTGGGACGGAACTCCGTATAGTCAGGTAGAGTCAACCAACGTTTCGGAGGACCTCATTATGCAATTTTATCCGATCTGTTATTTCGTCTCGCGTATGATAGAACGGTCTCCACATCATGTTCACCAACACCCTAAATCTGTTTTCCTGTAATACAGTAAGGTAAATCTGTCCCTGTAACAGGTCGTGGAGGCCTATAGGGTTGTCAGAGGTTCGAGGCTCCCACATTTTCTAGATAATCTGCTCGCAGATGGCGGTGAGGTTGGCACCCTTATGCGCCGGCCGCCCTTTACACCCCAGAAAGATTCCTGGTACTCATTTCTGTTATAGGCTGAGTCGACACCAAAGCCTTAGTGCGGCTTGAAGGATTAGGTAATTTGAAAAGAACCACCTTATCTGGACTCGAACCCGCGACCTTCCGGCTTGTAGAATAGTGCCTCCACCAACTACGCTACCTCGTGCCCCCTCTGTAATACAGTACATTACCAAATTTTATGTCATCCAAAACAGTAGGTAAAATTATGAGTTATTTTAATCCCCATGTATGTTGGTGTAATTTTTTTAATGTAATAATTATATGAGTTGCTACTTGAATGTTTATATGTAGACGTACATAACTGATAAACGAGTTTATTAACAAATATATTGTAAGTAAATTAATAAGATATGATCACGGTTTAAAAATAGGAATTTCCGGAAAATATGCATGGTAGAATAAAGTATATTAACTATGTTATAAGCCTGTAAAATATTAGAACGGACATTATTGAACTCGAGCCGTCTGGAGGGAAGAAGTTATTCTGAAATGTCTCCGCAGTGGTCACACTTGTCTGGTGCACCGAAATCTGTTACGCCGTGAAAACGTACCTGCCTCCCTCAGGGTGACATAACGTTAACGGGTACGCCGTGTTTTAATAGATTTCTCTCTTTAGGACGAGCGCCGTGTTATCCATATTCGGGCCCCCAACAACACATTTTCCAGGATGACATTTCTGCTGTGAGTACAGTTTGAGCATGTTTTAACAGCCATTATAATATTACTGCTCCACCTGGTCAGGTAAAGTAAACTTATCCCTGTACTCAATTGATTAAGCAGCACTCCATGGTGAAGTGGAGATACAGATCAACCATTCATAAACCTGAGCATTAGATGAAGGTGAGTGGTCAGCTTCACGCCACTGCCGTCTTACCCTCGAGGAAAACGCCCCCGTTACCCATTGTGTAGGAGGCTGGGTGGGCCGCAGAGCCAGCCTGGATGCTATGGAGAACAGAGAAATCTGTTGCCTCTGCCAGGAATCTAACTCCGTTCCTTCGATCATCCATCTTGTAGCCTGATCGCTATACACGACTGAGCTATTCCGGCTCCTTTTTATCTGGTCAGTAACTGCTAAGTTTGGCCGCGCCATAGCTCAAGCGGTTAGTCGCTGGCTTCCCACCGTGGCGGCCCGCGTTCGATCCCGGGTCTTGTCAAATGGGATTTGTGGTGGACAAAGTGGCGCTGGTGTGGGTTTTCTCCGAGTACTTCGGTTTCCCCTGCCAATCTTCATTCCACCAAATTCTCCATCGTCATAATCACCCGGGGCAGGCTACAATAGACCAATCAGTGACCGCCGTGCCGAGTGGACCCAGATGGACTCCACCCCCCACTAAGCCAATTAAAAAAAACTGGTAAGTTTACAACGTGCATGTATGTAGGGATATATGGATGGCTGCCTCTGTGGTCTAGTGGTCAGAGTTCCTGGTTACAGATCCAGAGGTCCCGGGTTCGATTATGGGAAGTAGTGGGTCTGGAACGGGGTCCACTAAGCCTCGTGAGGATAATTGAGGAGCTGCATGAATGGAAAAGTAGCGGCTCAGGTCTAGAAAACCGAAATTAACGGCCCTGGGAATCCGTTGCGATGACCACACAACACCCTCTATCCGCAAAATTTGGCACTAACTTCGCCGATAAGCAGCGGTCGCTCGGTCGGTATAGTTCGCTTGCGGACTAAAAGCCATGGTGTTTTTATGTTTACGCATTTATTAAACGTTCATTGTCAACACTATTTGTTGTTTTATTCTAAATGTGAAGTTACGGCGTCATTTAGGCTATTTTGGAATCTTGTTTTAGGTCTTGATCATTCGTGTTACACTGTGTCTTTTGCATTTTGTTAAATCCATTTATATGAGTTTCGGTGTTAAGACAGACGCAAACAGAAGACGACGTTGTCGCGCCTCTAAACACATTCAGCTGTCAATGAACTGGGCCGTCCGTCGTTTCTTTCTTGTTCTGTGTCCATTGGTAATGGTGCTATGGTTTGAAGAGTCCTATCTTCTGGGATGCAGCGCCGTGTAGTCAGTTGAAAATCAACCGACGTTTCGGAGGAAATGTTTGCCTCTAAACTTAGAGTCGAAGAATAAGCCAAGATTAAGAAACCAACACTTGCTAATCGTTTCATGCTGGTTTCCTGCATGGCTTATTTTTCGGCCCTGAATATGGAAGCAACATGTTCCTCCGAAACGTCCGTTGACTCTCAGCGGGCTACGCGGCTTTATATTCCATAAGATAGAACTGTCATAGCCATCTCTGTGGGAACCGCAAATCCTGCGCTATGGATTGTTCCCGACAAACTCTGGATGGGAGATCGGCTCATGGAAAGGCTATTGAAATTTAACGCATATAATTGCGCTTAAGTTAATAATATGCACTTAGAGTAAGGACACCGTATATGCCAGTTACTTATGTCTATCTATCTATGGCTCTACAGCACTTTGTAGGATCTTGGCCGTTTTTTTCGGTTTCTTAACCTACACAATGTCCGTAGGATCCCTTGGATGGGGGATCAGCCCGTAGCAAGACCGCTACCTACAGACAGATTAACACAAACAGAATAAACGAAAAGACATCAATGCCTTGAGTTGGATTCGAACCCACGATCGCAGCGTCCGAGCGAGTGAAGACTATTCATGATTCATACTGCACGGCCACTGTGACCGGCTTTATTAATGACTAGGTGGAGAAAAAAAAGAAGAAAAGGCAAAGAAAGGGGCTCCTTATTAAGGTTGCTGTATTTTGCTAAAATTCTCTACGGCCTGCTTAATGGGGGGGGGGGCTGAGAGGGCTAGTTTAAATCCTGGCTTCGGAATAGACCGACTGGTCTACTCATTGAAGGTCCTGACTACGACGTAATTCTGCCCTTGAAGGGACAGCAACTGTTTGCTGACCGGGGAGTACTTACCGGACACCAACTGGGAGACAGAAACATGGTGCTGACAAGGAATTCGTGAAGGTAATCTTATCCTGGCACCTGGTCCTTGTTGTAACGAATGGGGGAGGTGAAGGCAAATTCCACGCGTTCTTAACCTCTGCTCTCTATAGAGGTGAGTGGTCACTTAGCACGAAGCATATGGAATTCATAAACGAACAAAGAAGGGAAAAAGTTGGACAGTAAGGATAAAAAGAATTCCATACTGTGCCGCATATGAAATAAAATTTTTATGGCAGGATGAACATACAGATTAAATGCGAAAACAAGGCTGACCAAAAAAAACTAACCACTATTCAGAAGATGTGGACGAAGAGGTTACAAGCGATTTATAAAGGAAGGATTACTGTGTTCTGAGATGTGACGCCGTGTAGTTTAGTAGATACGAGGGAGAGTCAGTAAATAAGTCACAAATGGATATAAAACTTAAAACATGTGATATTCGAACCTGAAGAGAAATTATTTCTCAATATATCCTCCACCAACACTGATACACTTGTCCCATCGCTTTGCCAGTGCTTCGAAACCTGCAGCATAGAAGTCTTTTGACTGTTACCTCAATCACTTCAAACTCTT